GTGTTCATTTCCGTGATGATGTGCGTGGTTTACAAAACCCAACCCGTTCCTTGCCGATAAAACAAAAATGAGATGACGTCCTGGACAAAAAGCAGCCAGTGAGTGTGAATAATATAATTGATACCCTGCCCCCCTCCTATTTTGCCAACGTCCGGAGAGCTGCTAATGGCCCGGAGTGGCAGTTCTGGAACCTGCTTGGCATAAAATGATACGACTCCACATTTGGAGGCCGAAGACAAGTAATGCCGACCCCGGATTAATCAACCCGTCCCCAGAAATAGCGAGCGTCCCTGGGTGTTTAGTGGGAATGCGTCACTTGTGGAAGGGAAAAAACACCAGGGCGGGTGTATTAATCAGGTCAACATTCAGTTTTTCATGGGCATCTCTCGGTGCTTCCTCATGGCGCAGTGCAGCTGCAACTTGAAGAACTTTAAGAACCTAGCAAGTGGGAGCCCCAATGTTGTGAACCATGGGCTCGCGTATCCAGCGGAGCTCTGTTTTGTTTGCGAGGACCTTCGGAATGGTGAGTGGGGCTTGCGCTTAGCAGCGGCAGCAGAAGCAGCGCCAAACCAACACCACACCGACACGACATCAGCTTCATAACTAGATCCATATTGACAGTTGCATCACACATTCCTTCAAGCAGGTCCCTCGCATATTGTCAAACCGGACACCTTAAATTTGGCTAACTAGATAACCTCCCAGTAGAAGTAAAAGGGTATTGCCCCAGTCACATGCATGGCCCAAACAACATGTGCCCCTGCTCCTTGTGGTTTTTCAACTCTACGTAATGAGGAGTTTGACTCCATGTCAATGGTGGCCACTCGGCTTCCTCCAAAACCATTCCAACAACTCATGAAGCCACCCCCCCAAGTGCAGGTTTCGCCCAGCGACAAAAGGCCCTCCATGAATTCTGCTCCCCAGGACTCCCGATATCTCCCCTTAAAGAGGGTTTCCTCACCAACAAACCCCCATCTCTCAGTTGCCCAAATTAAGGACCAGGAGTAAAAGGTTAACCTTTTCGGCCATGACAAAAAAAGGGACCAAAACGGGAAAACACAAGGTTGAAAGGTCGGCTTTGGGCAAGCTAATCTTTCATAGGCCGCACAGGTGATGTCGTAACTTCTGACCACCCAAGGGGGCACATACCAAACCCCCCAGTGCTATTGGGGAACCAGGCCCTGGTTTCGTGGTTGATAAAAAGGAAGCAACCCACGGACATGAGTCCCCGAAAAATGATGTCCACCGTTTCGGGTTCATGAAACTTCATGCCCATATGGGTGTGTCATTTTAGGAGCCTACCCTGTTATGAGTTGGCAAACCAGAAATCCACGGCGTCCCTTATTTTTGAGCTTCACGCACATATACCCATATTGGGTGTCTATTTTTAGGAATCGGCCCCCAAAATTGATTTTCGGTTTTCCTTTTGGTTCCCCATTTAATTCCAACCAAAAAAAGGCGAACTGGAAAACGCCCGAAAAAACCATGGTTCTCCTATGTTCTCCTTTTGGTTCTCCTTCAAGCCAACCAAAAAAAAGACGAACCAGGGAGCAAAATGACATGAAGCAAAAGCACGAGTCGCACGAAGTTCACAGGATTAATAAACCCGTCCCATTATTAGGGGGGTGTTCCCTCCAAAAGTGGTCTGAATCCCCACTAAAAGGAATGGGACACCCCCCGATGAAAATCAACCAGGGGTTTGACTTCATCCAGGGTTAACATTAAGGCCTATGGCGCAAAAGGCTAGGGAACACGAAAGACGGGAGACTACAGAAGGCAACAAGCAAAGGAACAAGCAGCCGATGTGCTTGCTCGTGGTGTTATGAGCAACACTTCAACAAGCTTACGAGTCCCACTCCCCGAGTCCCTAGCCCGAGCGCACGCAGGCCCTTTCGCGGAGCCTCGCGCAGCAGATGGGCGTGCCGCTTCTGCGCCTGCGCGTGCCAGGCTTGGCCGCCCCCGGGCGGGCAGTCCCCCACACTGTCGTGGAACATTGCCTGGGAGTCGAAGTCGAAGCACCGAAGATCATATATATATATATAAACAAAAAAACGGAACCCGCTGTAAGTTGATTCTGCCCTTTGATGTCCGATCATCATAGCGGTCCTTTCAGGTTGCACTTTCCACTAATAGTGTAGTGTCGAAAAGTCTGGGGCGGTCAAAATCTGGACGGTACCAAAGAAATGGTTGTGAGATAGAGTCTTGCGTTTTGACAAGGGGGCCAATTTGTGCTGGTGGTGTTGAAGGGAAAGCCCTAAAACAGACAAACCCTGCTGGGTTTGGGTGCCCGTCTGGAAAGCTTGTTTATTCGTTCAAAACCCGAAGGTTTTGCCGCGGTTTTGAAAAGAACGACGGTTGTAAAGCACAAAGAATGGACCCCTGCCAGGAATCTAGAAGCATCCTGACATGTAGAAAGTATTCCTTTGGCCGATACCAGTCATGAATTCCGCAAGACTTGCTCCCGAGCCGCATAGAGGTCAATGTCCGGCTGGTACCAACAGTTCTCCCTGGCCTGACCCGCTTCACACGAAGCAATGAACAAAGCGTGGTGGATGCTCAAGCGACTGACAGGGTTCTCATTTTTGGAAAAAAATGATCCTACCTAGAGTCTCCATGACCCGGTACAAATGGGTCATGACCCCATTATTTTGGGTAATGACCCTACTGTTTAAGGGTCATGGAGACTCCAGGTAATTTGTTGGTGACTCGGCCGCATGTCCGAACCAAACAACTGAAGCCGTACCATTGTACACCTGGGACGATTGTGCAGTGAATCCCGCACACAGGCTACTGCTGGCTCTGGATTTCTTCACTCGCTTGACTGGCCGGCGTCTCAGTGGACAAAGCTTGACTTTGCACGGAGCAGTGAACATGGTAGGAATGTGAAGGCGGCACGTGCAAGTGAGGCATTGCTTTTGAACAAAACTCTCACACCTCTCGTTCTATGGCTACCGTTGCTATTGACACTGTCTTGAGATGCTCCACCATGCCAAGAGGTCTTGCCTTCAGTCACTGGTCCAACCAGAACGCAGCAACATAGCTTAAAACACATTCTGCCCGCATAAACGAAGCTCTTCCTGAAATGGGTATGTGTCACCATAACGGGACCCCAAAACTGCTGGCGTTCCTTTGAATATTCCTTTTAAGCAAGCTGCTTCTAGACCCTGGCGTCTAGAGCTTGGCATGATTTTATGAACTCCGAGGGGCCAGGAAGGAGGAATAATGATCGATCTTGGTGTGCTTCGCAAACTTGAGGATCACGCGCGCCGATTTCCCAAAGGCCTCAGCTTGGACAAGCCGTGCGGGTCGCAAACGCAAGTGGCCGCCAAAATGCGCCGGAGCCCGCTGAGCCGAATTCTGTGTGTTTGCGTGTCCATCTACATGGATGTGGCTCAAAAAACGGTAATTACCAAAATGGAACCCTGGTAAGTGGAAACATGGACCAACACCTGCGTAACCCCTCCTGGTACGAGTAGGGACAGAACTCCACGCGCTCACATGGCCAAGGGTCAAAAGCCCGCAACCCCAGTGAACATCCCAATACCCACTAAAATAGGTTCTCAAATGGGTGGTGTACCTACCCCAACATGGAATCCCATTGGTTTTGACCCACAGCCACATGAGTTCCCAAGCTGATCAATCGATCCAAGTCACCACCAGGTGAGTTCGCGAGACGTGCAGGCTACCTTGCGTGCTGCTTTTTGTGCCAGGCCCATGACATCCTTGAGAAACCGCACAACTGGAAGCATGAGATGCTTCCATCGGTCCAATAACACAACTCCGAATTGTGTTTTTCCTGGTTTGACCAGACACGTTGTTGGCAGGGTATTGGCATTGGAATGGCCTTCTCACTGCGAAGGCGGTCGTGGCATCTTTTCGGATGCTGTATTTTCAGCTTTCAGCGCCAAGAAGTCAGACATCTCAGGGATCTAGCAATTTCCAGATTTGTCTATGTTCCACAAAGTCCCCTACAAACAGAAACTACCCCCTGCAATACTCAAAAGTATATTCCCCCGAATAATGAATACCACCCGCTAACACGTATCGCCTGTGGCCGAGCAATACTTTTAGATGGGGGGGGTTCACTACGATGTGTGTCCCCTGTGCGGGCCAAAAACAAGTCAAAATGGCAGCTTCCCAGTAAGAAAGTCCATCAGCAGACATTCCAGCCACTTTTTGGATTTACGCTGGCTTCGATTTGGTTTGGATTTAGTCTAGTATCAGTTGAGTATTGGTTCTGGAATATCCCGCAATAAGACTGGAGATTGGGTCGGCGGGAAGCTTGCTCGCTTGGAATTGGTTCGGTCATTGGCTACTTCTACTTTAGCAATGGAAAATGCGTGGTCTGGGAAAAACAAGATGCAGTACTAGCGTGCAGGGGGAAGAGATTAATCATGGAAGCTAACTGACGGGGATTCAAAGGCAATGTTCTCTTTGGAGAAGTCTACTGTCCACTTGAATGTTGGTAAACAGGTGTGCTAGGATGTATTTTCTGGGCTGTCCTCAGATCCCCCGCGAAAAGTGACCAACTTTTAGTGGGTGAAATGGAAACCCAACCACAAAACACTAAAACACTAAACAGCTAAGGGGATGGCTGGAAGCCGCCGAGTTTTATGAGCACTGTCATATCCTTGGGGTTCATTATCTGACCGTTGGAGCTGCCCGTGTTTCCACTAAAGCAGTCCACCTTAGATGTTTTTCATGGCAACGGAAGGCGACCAACGATTTGTCGTTGGCATTTTGTGGGCATCCAAGGCAGGTCGGGATTTATTGCTTTGGGGAACCCCTGGAACCCCTATTTTCAGGGAACTCCAAATTGGAAACCTGTTTTGAGAGGCCAACCGGCAAGCACTGCTCGCGAGTTCAACGTGTCTGCAGAAGATGGACACCCGTGTGACACCGGCCTTCAACGGTGGTCTTGCCATGGGGAGCTCATACTGTGGATGGATCATATCCTGCACCACCTGAAAACACCCTGGAATGATGATTCCCCCACAGTTTCATTTCGTGGTGCGCGGATTTCGTCCATCCACAGGGGTTCGAGGACCCCCCGGTTTCCTTTGGCCAGAGCCGCGCATGGCCGCCTCCACGATGCGCCAATCCTCCGCCTCCCAGACCGAGTAGTCCACCGTGAGCTCTGCGTTCGCCGCGCTGCCGCCGCTGCCCGGCATGTCTAGCATCACCACGGAGAAGCCCTTCTTGTACAAGGGACGCACCAGCCTCAGAACCCAAATGAACATGAACAACATCTAAGGTGAACATCCAACAAGAGAATTTGGAGGCCATTTGGTTGTAGAAGGAGAAAACAAACCTCCCAGCCAAATGAACAACAACCAATTTGAGGTGTCCTTTTGGTTGGAAACGGCCTTGGAAACAAACCACATGCAGAAAGAAACAGCTGTCCTTTTGGTGGTTGGAACTACCCTCCCACCTGCATAAACGCAACCATTTGATTCGAGGGAACGACCGCATTCTAAGGCCCCACTCGAAAGATGTTTCGCGGGCTCTTTTGGGTTCAGGGCGTGGGTCCTTGTTGGAAAGGGACCTAGTGGATCTACCAGTGAAGTTCAGGCATGCTCCATCAAGTTCACTTGAAAGGGCGCATCCCCTGGTAGCGTCATGCGGCTCTCATCATGGCCTGTTGTATCCTGGCTTGAGATACTGCCACATGTTGGAATTCCTTTGGGCGTGTCAATCTTGATTAAAACCGCGTGCAACCTTTCGAGCCGCTCGCTTCGGCGAGTTCACCATTCACGCCAGGCTTCTTGATCCAAGCCCACACGTCCCTGATCGGGTGTTGGATATCGGACAGCAAAGTGACGAAGCGCCCGGGCCGCGACCCAGTTCCTGGCGATGCGGACCAGCTCCGCTTGAGGACATGGCGCCATGGATTTTTTGGAGGCAGAGGTACCCTAAGGTCCATCGGCATGGGAACATGGAGCGGCCCCACTTTTGTGGCTTTGCAAGGTTGCATGTCAGACCTGGCGCAAATTGCGGTCCAAATTGGACAATGCAAGCCAAGAGAAAACATCCTTCGGCAAGCCTCTTGAGGGGCGACCCTGGGTCTTCTCGCCTTAGGCTCTCTTTACACTTTTTATCAGGGGATGTCTCCTGACTCGGGACGCCAAAAGGGAAAGCAACAAAAACAGCAACACAAAGTCGCTCCGGAGAGCAATCCTTCATCAACTTGACAGTCATCCACGTATCTTGATCCTGGCGCTGCATAGAATCTTAGAAAAAGGAACGCGAGTAAGCAATTCTTGAGGGGGAACGTTCAAAACGCCGACGCGTAAAAACCGTGTAAGCTTGATGGGCTCGTTGACTGCCTTATAAGCTGAAACATGGGTCGTGTAAGCGCAGCGCTAGTTGAGCGTAAGCAACCTTCCACGACATAGGGGCTCGCGGAGTTGTTGCGTGCATAAAGCCAGGCGCTTCTACAGCCATTGGGTTTTCCAAGCAAAGGGTTACCGCACAGCAGATTTCAGCAAGGGGTCCAGGCGCGCAAGAAGGCCCAAGCTGGCGCGAGGGCTTTTTGGACCCACAGCCTCTAGATTAAATGTGGAAACGTGCCGGGGCGGGTTGGTCTTTGAGGGGGCCGAAAGTTGAGCTACCAATTCACAGGTTTGGCCTTTGGGGTCAAAGGGACCTCCTTTAAAGGGTTTCCAACGAAAGGAACCAAGTAAAAAGGCAAACCATTGGATTTTCAAAACAAACCTGGAGCACCCTTCGTTACATAAATTTCTGCCCTTAGCCCAAACGTATTGCAAAACCAGGGGTCGTCACCAAAATATGGTAAACGTACACTTTTTCCTGCTTCGAGCGTTTTTCCCAAAACCGGGCTGGTCGGTCCTCCAAGATGATCGGTCGCTGAATATTCAAAAGGAGCGAGCAGAAATCAAAGTGCAAAACGAGCGCAAATATCCGCAAAACGAGCGCAAATATCCGCAAACGAGTGCAAATTTAAAAAACGTAACAATCCCGCCTTCCTCTGGATGGAAGAAGGGATTTGGTCGAGCGTTTTTCGGGGGGGCGAGCGTTTTTTGGAGGGTCGAGCAGAAATCGGTAATTCGAGCGTTTTTTTCTCGTACCTAAAAAAAAGGGCACGTTGGGTGCCTCAGGAAGGGAAAGACAACACATGTTCGTTGCAACAAGTTACGCACACCACTATTACGGTGGAATTCCACAATCACTAAAACCAAACATCCCGGCTGGTTTTTTACAATAACATCAACCACCCATCTAGGGTCCCATGCTTGATTAGCTTCACCTCGAGTCTCACGCCGATCCGTGGCATCGCATCGGATCGCTCGCGCCTTTGAAATGGATGGCCTCGGGCTGCCAAAAGGCCTTCACCTCGATCTCCACCGTGTTCTCCCCGCCGATGGGGAAGGACACCGAGCTGAGCCTCAGCGGTTCGCCCGGCGCTTCGGCCAGTGGTTCGCGTCGTTGCTTTTCTTTTCTCGGTTTTTGGCCCGGCTGGAAGCGGTGGATTTCGGAGAAACTGGTGGATGGCATTGCTATTGGTATTGGTGGCATCCTTGGTATTGGTGTACGGGAATGGTATCCATTATTTTTGCATGAGGCTACCCCATGTTGAGAGGAAAACTTGTTCCACAGCTGCAAAGCTAGTGTCGCCGCCCATGGCTCTGGTGGATGGTTGGCAGCTTTCGGAGTGGGTTCCGGCCCTTTGGCGAATTTTCGATTTGGGGGTGGGACGTTCACGGCCAAAGGCGCCGGTTTGTTCTGAAAGTGTCCCCATTTCTCTGTGAGACACTTGGCTTCAGACACCAAATAACCGGGGGATCAATGCGGCGACATGCGTCGCTTTCTGAACATGTCCCCATATTCTGCACCAAAACCAAAACAGGGGTAGCTCTAAAAGGAAGCACGCCAAGTACGGGATAGACTAACGATGGTCCTTGAAGGCTGAAAGGCAACCCTTCTCCGTTCGGGTTCTGCCCCTTGAGCTCTGCTCTGTTGAAGGCTCCTTGCATGGCATGTTTCAGGCACCCTACAAACAACCCCGCCCCTTTCCCAACCGACAAGGCCTTCTATTCTCTTCTAATTAGCCTTGCTGGGCCTACTATGGCTTATACAAACCTTCTTGCTGTTGGTGGGGAAGGGTGGCATGAACATTGAGGCACTGCCCCTTTTTACACGCAAGGCACATTTGCTGGAACCAGAACCCGCGAAAGGCAAAACAAGGTACAGCCACGGATGTGTTGCTGTGCGAGTGTGGATGAGGGAACAGCTCCATGGCTCAAAAGGAGGGTGCGTGGCTTTCGCCTGTCGAAAGAAACGGGATGCAGGCCGCCAGGGACCAAAACGCGGGAGCCGCAGACTCCCAGGCCTTGAACTGTCAGATTCAGTACTTTGGACCTGGCGAAGAGGAGGAAAAGCAAAAGAGAGCAGCGAGAAGTGTGAGTACAGGACCTGAGAGTTCAACATGCACAGGAAGAAAGGTGGAGAAAACGAGACAAACTAAAGCACAGTGGGGAAGGACAGTGTAAGTGGCAAAGCATGAAGCAATTCCAGCATCCTACTTACTAGTTGATAAATAAAACAGGGGACTGTGGGAAAAGCCAATGAACGCAGGCATGCACCTTGATCAAAAAAGAAACAAAACACACTGCCACAGCTCCCTGCCCTCTTAACCCCCCCTCAAGATCAATATCTCGAAAAAACGTGGAACATGGGCCTCACCCTGATGTGGAACCCGTCCGCTAATTACGGCCCTCTCCTCTTTGGATCCCGCCGAAAGCAGTAGGAAAACAAAAAGCCGGGGAGTGCCAGTATTTTGTGCAGGACATTTGGGGGGAATCCTTGAGAGGCTTGTGACCGCTTGTGATGACACGTCTTGTGACGTGTGTCTCTTGCGTGTTTGAGGCTACCTTTCTGTATCAAGGGCATGCCCTAAGCGTTCAAGTATGGGAATCGCCAACACAAAGTGGTACAGATTTCGGGGGCTGTTCTACGTGCACTTTTTTGTTTCTTGCTCGCACGGCTCGATTGCCAGGGAGCCGTAGGTTTTGCTTCAGGAAGAGGCGCTCGTTTTCCCTGAAGAGCTCGCCATTCAAGATCGCGGACTCCGAAGCCTGCTCGTAGAAGCCGAAGGTGTCGTCCCCATTCCATCCTGAACCCGGGACCCGTCTTGTTCGTGCGTGCTGCTCTGAAGAAAAATAGCATCTGGGCAAAGATATGCAAGAGTTTCTCAAAACGGGTTTCAGAAATCCTTTATGCTGGTATGGAGAAGGGGAAACCAAAAGGAAAGCGTTGAAGCCCTTCAATCACTTCGATCATCAAATCAAACACGTGCCACTGCCACACTACCAGACTTTGAGTCTCGTTCGGCCAGCAGACGAGGATTCCTTTGCGCGGCAATAAGAAGCCACTATGCCCCATGTCCACTTCCTGAGAAAGGGAACAAATGGGGTCATTACCCAAAATTAAAGGCTTATGACCCCTTCTTTCTAGGGGGTCATGGAGACTTTAGGCACTGTCCGGGCCCCTGCGCCGTCCTTTGACCCTGGCACACATGTAGCAGAAGCCCGACCCGCTCAGAGAAACCACGCGCCGAGTCGCGGATTTTGGCCCTTCTGGAGTGGCCCAAGGGCATTCCATTGGCAACGCGAGGTGACTGGTGGGCTCGGTTCCCACAAACTGCCCCCGCTAAAAGTGACTCACTTTTAGTGGGTCAAATGGAAACTACCACTGAACACTAAAAGGCTAAAAAGCTAAGGGGAGCCGCCATGATAAGAAATCCGTCAGAGACCTTGTGGCCCATTTCCGAGAGATCCACCACATCCATCTTAGCGGCCAGTCGACTCTTTTGCCTCGGGAAAAAAAACAGGTTTCTCGTGCACTCCCTGGTGCATGGACACCTCCAAATAGTTAATAGTTTGCTCGTTTGGGATCCGCTCGTTCATGATTAAAATGGATCACCAGTCAGCTCATGTGTGCTCCGCTCAACCGCAAACCAGTCAACGGCTCTCAAGCTGCAAACCTTAAGCTGCAGCAGCTGCGGGACCAGTCCGAGCTGGCAAAGAGCTGCCATAGACCAAGACTAGAGCAGTGTGTGCTTGAGAAACTCGGTTGCTTTCTGCTCCCCTGCAAAAAAACATGTTTTAGTGGTTTAATGGCAAACCCATTGGTTGGCAAAAGTTAAAGTCCTAGCATCCAAGCAACATGCACCAAAGGAAAGATGAGGCATCAGGCTGGACGTTAGATCCATCCATCTTCCCGGGTCCAAGTGCCTCTTGAGCACTCATCATACTTTGGGGGGTCAAAATGGATCAAAGTCCCTTCATTACCTCTCAACAGCAAACTAGGTTGCCTGTACGACAACTTAGACACCTGTGACTCAGGAATCCTCAGTGTCCCTGTTTTTTTTTTTAGACTGCGTCAGGAGGAGACAATGAGTCAATGAGTATGACCTGAGTCAAACAGAGCTCCTCGTCCCCGGGAATTGACGCTGATCTCTGTTTGACTCGTTGCAACAACCCACGTGTCACTTGGCAAGGGCATTCAGTCAAGTTTGGTGCAAGGCGATCATTGTCTCAGCTCTTTGCGGCGTGACATGACGTCTAGCATCTTGGTCGACGTTGGCAGAGCAACAATTATCTCAATTTGAGCAGCCAAGTGATTGGAAATTCCAACCACTAAACCACTAGCAGAAATGTAAAATGTTTCCCAACAACCATGACATGACCCCTTCTTCTACCCGGCATCCTTGGGAGTGAAGAGTTTGCTTTCTTCGACACGGGCTCACAGGCTCGTGATGAAATTCATCTGTCTGACTTCCTCTGAGGGTAGTCTCTGCGTTTAGTCCAAGCACCATGCACTCCTTGAAACGTGGTTTGACTGCTTGCGTGACTGCTTGCGCCCCTGTACAAATCGTGAACTAAGTACTGGTTTCTCTTGATTTATTGATTGATTGATCGATCGATCGATTGATTGATTGATCGATTGATTGATCGACACTGACTGACTGACTGACTGACTGACTGACTGACTGACTGACTGACTGACTGACTGACTGACTGACTGACTGAGTGAGTGACTGACTGACTGACTGACTGACTGACTGACTGACTGACTGACACTGACTGACTGACTGACAGACTGACTGGCTGGCTGGCTGGCTGGCTGGCTGGGCTGGCTGGCTGGCTGGCTGGCTGGCTGAGTGATTGAGAGTGCTCCGAATATATGCCCAACCCCAATATACTTGCCGACGACGCAACACTCTCCTAAATAGACTTTTCAGCATCTGCCCAACAGGAAGTTAAGCACTAGGTCATGAGCCTCCTATCTGACCAACTCCTCCAGGTGGTGTCCTTTCTCGGTTGCTGTTTACCCCTCTGCAAAACACTGCAACTTTGTTGGGTCCGTGGTATCAGCCCTAAATTCTTAATCGTTGTTAGTTTTTGTTTGCCGCTGTTGCTGCAATCTTGTCGTGGAAGGTACCCCCCTGTTGTGGGTTCAATGGAACACCCGTGGGGTTTTCCAAAAACAGCTCAAGTCTGAAGGTCCACCCCAACAGACTTTCAAGCATGTGACTTTTTGTTGAAAACCAACCATCCGGTGCGGCACCTGGGAGTGGCGCCCAGACTCGCGCATGGCGTTGTAGAGTACCCTCAAGGCGGTTTACAGAGAACGACGGGCTCTTGTTGGGGGTCAGGTGACATGCCTATGCTTGACCCCGGGGTGCATTCTGGAAGTGGGTAAAGCTTATCCCGCTTGTGAGTATCCTATTGTACGGTAGATGGCGCGTGGAAAGTCGTGTGTAGCCTGAATAACATTGTGGTTTTGCCCGGCAACCACTCACTATGACTGTCCAACGCGGCGTGCTTACTAGTCACACCCGGGAAACCATTCCGAATCAGTTTCGCATACATGCCCGGAGCGGCTAAACACCAGAAGAAAAAAAAGGCAGGTGTCCCGAAAACGACGGCTTTGTTTTGTTTCCCCGGTTTTGCGGGCATTTCCCATTCTTGTACGGAATTTTACGTTTCTTCCCCACCCCACAGGTTGGGGCTACCCAAGGCAACCTCGATGCGCCAATCGCAGGGTTGCTTCCGTCGCCGTTCCTGCCAGCTCACTCTGGGGAGTGCAGGCCCCCTGCTGAAAGAAACACGCCTGAGCTTCCCGTGGCGGGCCTATGGTTCTGTGTGGATGTTCACATTGATATGTGCGAGTCGACCAACAGGTCCTTCACTGGGCACAGGTAGGCTCTTGCTGTTCTCGTGCCGTGGATTCCGCCGCAGTGATTGACTCGTGAAGAAGTTTTGGGTACCTAAGCCAATAGCCCAGCATTTGAGGTGATATTATGTTCTGCGCCGGGCACTGTGTTCAACCACCAGACAAACACTGCACACTTGCTGCTTACCACGAAAATGATAATATCGAAAATGCATATTGGACTCAGGAAGTGGGACTATTTGTCGCAAAAGTGCAAGCTGACACGGCTCCCTCCCATTCAGCCAGCTTTGCCAAAGCCGGCTTGCCCAAATCAATAGGCACCACGCTGAGATAAGCTCAGAAAAACTGGAAATGAGAACAATAACAAACGTGCCCTTCCGTGCATTCAACGGAGATGCTGAAATGCTAGCCTTGGTGCCAAAAGTATGGCTTCCCGAATGTGTAATGCGTACATGTATATATATATATATATATGTATATATTTTTTTCATACCTACAATGGCTAATTTACCAACCAGGACTTCTTGGCAAAGGTTCATTCACACGAATCTTTCATGCACGCACTTTGCGCAACGTGTGCTTGCACATGAGCCAGAAGGAGAAACTTGGCCAATTCCACAGTTCAGCTACATGTGCTAGCCGCAGGAACTGTTAGGGCCCGGGCCAAACTGACAAAGGGGGCTTGCAACGGCACAACAAAATGCAGAATGGTGCATTTATAAGGGAAGTTGTTGATGCCCTGTTCTTTTCCCCCATCCTTCTTTTCAGAACTCATAAAAAGAAGAAAATACAAAAAATCACAGATAACAAGCATGAGTAAGTAAAAACTGGTGAGCAAAAAGGAGCATGGATGGACTGATCTGTTCTTTGTGGACCTTCGCCCCGCCCGTTCGCTTAGAAAAAAAAAGAAGAAAAATCGAGGCGAGGGCTCTCGTAGGATGCCCCGGAGGTGGCCAGGGATGTACAAGATGGTGGTGTCCAAGTTGCCCTGGCCGCTCGTCTTTCGTTGACGAGCTGCGCAGCTGCCTGTTTGTTCCTGGCCTATGATTTTCAGGGGAAACCGAAAGGAACACCCACCCATTTTGAAAGGGGCTCCCCTAAAGCAGAGGACACACACCTATGAACGGGGGGGGGGGGGCTTGGATCCACCCAAACACATGGTGTCCTGTTTGCCTGGTGGAAAAGGGTAAAGCTTGACATAGCCAAAACGTGTGTTTCTTCTCATCATGAGTACCCTGAGTACCCTTGATCAGCAAAGGCTGCCGGCCTCCCTTCCCCTCCCCACAAGGTTTGGACAAGCCCCCCAAAACTGAGATTTGTTGGAGCACCCCTGATTGATCTGGGGCTTCTTCTGTCCTCTTACCGGAAACAGGCACCTGGAGAACCACTTCACTCCTTCCTTCTGCCTTCAGTCCAGTCAATAGGACTCTTAAACGGTAACAACATTATGCTGTTTTGAGCCCAAAAGGGCCGGTGTGTGTGTGTGTGGGTTCTGTTAATGAGCCTGCAAAGGGGGTCCCCTTTGAAGTGCATTTGGGGGGAAGCACATGTTTTTGGGAAAACTCCAGGGGTTAGATAGTGGCTTAGTATGGGTGGGTGTCAGCGCACACCAAGCAAGTACTAAGCAAGAAGGAAAGCAAACAATGGGACGAACCGCTTTCCCGTCACGGGCCGCCTATTTGGCCCACGGTCTGTGGACCCGCGCTGGGCCGTTGCCATAAACCACCGTTTCTGAGACACTAGCATCACGATTGCTGAACTTTTGAAGGAGTCGTTCATGATTGAAAAGAGGTGCATGATCACGAAACGTCTGCCAGCCGCTTGAGCCATGCAAACCAGCATCAACTGAGGCTTCTTGAAGCAGAACACGCTGCCCGCCTCCACCTCCACCTCCACCTTCTGCTCATTGGGATTGTCCGCCCCAAAGCTGTCCACCTAAGTAAAGCAATGGTTCTTCGACTTTCGAATGAAACGTCGGCGTTTGCTCACCCTATGTGCTGCCTATGCTCCGTGCACGTGTCATGTTTGTCTGCGTGCCGCTCGTGATGTACTGAAAGCCGGCAATGCTTGACGGGATGCAGCACTTGATAACGCATGGTATTCCAATAATTGCCCTTAGGCCTATCACATCAACAAGAAACTCACAGGATGTGCATCAACACCGGAAAGGAATGCCAAGATTGGCCATATTAAAGCTTGCTGCTGCTCAGCAGGGAATGAGAAATGGAACGCCCCTCATCAACCGTCCAACTGGTGTCCTTTCAGGGAATCCCTGGTTCATTCCCACCTTCCCTACCTATCGGTTCCAGCCAAAAAAAACAACAACGCACAGGGCCCCTTGAAATCGGAGGTCTCCAGGCCCCACGCAGCAAAGACCCGTTTGCAGCTTCCACCTTCCACCGTTGGTCAAAACGGAACGGCCAGATTCACCGCAAGGACCGGCAAAAAAAAAGTCAGCATCAAAGTCACCCCCTACATGGGTTGAAGGGAAACCACCCGTGCTTGACGTTGATAACCCCCAAGAAAGGGTCAAACTCATGCCACGCAAACGGT